CCATCCCCATTTGAGTTAAAAGCGCGTCTCGTCCAAGTGATAAAGGTTAAGTGTCATCGATAAAACTGCGTTTTCTCTCACTGGGCATTACTGGAGAATAATACCCTAGAATTAGCCAATCGGATCTCGCGTTATATCGGCTACAAACACAAGCCATACAATAAAATGCTTTATAGCAGTCTGCATTTTTCGGTGGGTTATTTAGGGAAAACAACCTAAAACATGAGGCTCTGGAAAGATCGTGAAAATTTCGAAGGCCCACAAAGAACAGGAATCATAGTGAAATTTCAAGACTTGCTAACTGCATAACGTGCTACTAAAACGACGCGTAACAAGACGCACCTCTGTAGCATTTTGAATGATTGCGTCGACTCGTTCGCCTAAGTTTCCTATTTCCTCCGCGATAGCGGGTTTTACAGCCGCCAGAACTTCTTTAGTGAGAATTCTTCGTAACGAGCTCGGCACTGATTCGCCAACTTCCATCAGGCCCTGAAAAAAAAAAAGCAATCAAATTATGCGCAGGAAGGGAAAAATGAAAGAAAAACAACAACGAAAATAAATGAGATGATTTAAGTGGAACAATGGCAGAGGAAAACTCGGATAAAATTTAGCCCAGACTGATTCAAAACTGAATTTTGAAACCAAGGCAGACGGTAGAATTGCAACCTTAAGGCCAAGCAATGTGAGAGGGGTGGGAGTGGGGGGTTAATTAGATAACAGTTGCACAGTATAGTTATAGCTATCCTTTTCAGTGAAATGGAATATATTTAAAAAGAAAGATTCGTATATACAGCGCACCCCAGGCATGGCCCACTTCAAGCTTTGAGGACTTTTAACAGCCACGAATTCCAGAACGTTCTTATCTTGCTTTTGTACAATCAGTCCATCTTCACCAATCTTCCACCTGCACAAAAAAAAAACAAAACAAAACAAAACAAAACAAAACAAACAAACAAAAAATAAAGATTAAGCAAGGAGTTAATCCTACTCAAAAAAGAGGGAGCTTTAAGGGGGTGCATTGTTTACACAACGTCTTAAATATTTAAGTAAAAGCTGCCAAACTGCAAAAGAAGTCTAGAAATAGAAAAAAACATGTTCCGACCATGAATCAACACTCATACAGTCAAACAGACACAAGCTCTTTGCTGTTGAATAACATAGAGCTTAATTGATCTTAAAAGACAGAGACTGGTTCTCCGCTTATTTCCATAGAGTTCTGATAACACAACTGGATAATGAATTACCTTGTAGCAACAATATGAGTTGCGTGATTGGACCCCCATCGAGCAAGCAGTCCGCGACCTGCGACGCCAGTCCTGCCAACAGGATTTCTATAATGATAAAGACAGAGTTCACATGAAAATCATACTTAAGTCATTGTGAATGGTTGATAACCCCAGTCTGATAGANAGCAGAACGTTTTCACCCACTCAAGTATGTCAGGGTCTGCCCCAGGTGGTGAAGCTCGAACTTCTTGCGCGGTATACAGAGGTGGATCGTAGCCTGGGAACGACTCCTACAGTGAATAAAACGAAACAGTTATGTAGAAATCATGTAGAATATCTTTTGTTGTCTTATATTTCACCTTCTTACTTGCCTTAGGGATAATTGCCTTAACAGTAAGACGAGGTTTAAAAAACAGAGTGAATTATGGCGTTTTCCTTTCACTATCATTTTAATTCAACTGATTGAAAAGACTCGAAAATAACAGGCCAATAGACCAATTTCGATATACTAAAATTCAGCCTAACACAACGGAACTCCGTACGAGGCTCTGGGGAATAAACCCCACAAACTCTGTAGTTATTCCCCAGAGCCTCGTACTGAGATCTACTGTTTTAGGCTGAATTTTGATATATCGAAATTGGTCTATTTCAATGTATTGAAATTCTCACTTGGCTCAGAGGTGTGGGAGAATAAAAAAAGAGAAACCACATCGAGGTTGAGGGATGAACAATAAAATTTCCTTTGTTTTGGTCCCCCAAGCCTTGAAGTCAAGTTAAAATTTTGATATATTGAAAATGGCCTATTTCGACATAACGTCGAAGTCCAAGTTGGGAGCTGGGACTAGTTTAACTTCTTTGGAAAATGAGCTCTTTCCCTTCTGTTTGGCAACACCAATATGGCCGCCAAGAAAACGCTCTTTATAGATTTTCGTTATTTTTCTGCGCCACATACCTCCCAATCAACAAGGAAGTCTGGTACAGGGTATCTCTGTTGATTGCTCTTGGGATACGGTGACTGCCTTGCGAGCTCGTGCATGATCTTCTCACGTGCACGAGCGTTCTTCTTGGCACGTGCGGCAGCAGTTGACAGACGCCGTCTCGTGAACCGGAATTCCTCTGTTTTGAATTAAAATTCACTCTGTTAGCAGTTGATAGGGAGTTCAAGAAAACCACAACGACAATGACAACAGGGACGTCACTAAAGAAAAGGTATAATGAGCAGAATAATGGCAGTGCACGTGTGTTATAATTCCTGGTAGATTTCTTTACCGTCCTCTGCAAAACTTCTGCATTGTGTGGAGAGCGTGAACCACCGGGGCTAATGTTTAAAATTTATGTTTCAAATTTACCGCTGTGTTCCAGATTCAATATCGAGATAGTTTTGACAGTGATAAACAAAGTAAATGACTTTATAGTATCGCGAGTTTCGGAGGCAAAATATGAAAATATCTCCTAATGTGGACATAGTGGGTCGCCCACCCGATAAACAAGTAAAGGAATGGGGAAGGAAAGATTTTGCTTTTTCTATCCTCCCCATTTTTCTCTCGTTTTTCTCAGCTTTGATAGATATTGCACAGGCTACAGTCAGACTTATTTTTTTGAAAAAAAAAAGGTCGTTTTGTGGAAGTGAAGGAAAGATGGGTGTGATCTGATGAAGTTCGTAAATGATTTCATTCGCGTATACCACTCGATCAGGATGGTATAAGTCAAGTTGAAAACCTGATTATTGTAAAAGTCATTTCTTAGTCGAGTATTCTCAACTGCAAGTAATGTAAGCTTATAGGCTTCTCATCCTATGGTACTCTGTCATTACTATATACTAACCTGGAAGTTCTTTGTGGCCCACATTCTTTCTACTCGTCAGAGCCCCTTCGTAAGACAACCTTTGAGAAAGGGGCCTGTGTCTACCAGAACCTGAAATGAATCCCACGTAAACACTGTAATGAATTTGATATGTTCAAGAACTCTCAATTCTTTTCCTCGCTCCAAGGATTCAATTAAGTCAGCGATAACAAGCTTCAAACAAATGTAAATTGGGTACAGGCTTGATCAGAAATTTCATGTCAAGTGAAAAACGAACGAAACTTTGATTGATTTCAGAACATGCCCTAGACATTTTGATGTGAAACAAATAATAAGTTATGATGAACCACGTATCATTAATATGTTGGAACAATTTTTATGACCATTAAGTTCTTCGTTAAATTCTTAAAGGTCTCTGAAGAGTGTCATGGACGAGACGAAATGCCGGGTCAGAATTGCCACGAGCATTTTACAAGTATTTGTCAATCCCTTTCATTACGTTTTCCCAAAAATAACAACAAGAAATGTTTATGGGGACACGGTATGTTCATGTTTCACCTGTAAGTTCAACGTCTGATAAAGATACAGTTCTTCCAGACCTCGCGGGCTCTACATCACTCGGCGTTGTTTTTGGTTCTGGCGCCGCCAACTCGTGCAGTATGTCAACAATTTTGTGCATGTGTTCTTCCAGTCTAGTAAGTCGGATATCCAGAGAGGAAATCGACTTCTTGCCCGAGTTGGATTGGCTGACGGTCTCTTTGTACATATCGTGGAGTTGACAGGAAACTGATTCCATCCTGTGAGTTTCAGTAATATAGAAAATACCATCAGTAAAATTGGATTAATTAAGCAAGAAATACAAGCAGTCAAGCAAACACTAATTCAGGTTGACAGTCAAGCTTTCAAGCCGCTACACAGCCAAGCCGTCAGTCAGGCAGGCAATCAGTCAGTGAGTCAGTCCCTCCATCCGTCCATAATTCAGTCAGCCAGTTAGTTCGTTTCTCCGTCTGTCCGTCCGTCTGTCCGTCTGTCCTCCGTCCGTCCGTCCGTCCGTCCGTCCGTCCGTCTGTCTGTCTGTCTGTCCATCCGTTCGTCCGTCAGCCAGTCAGCCACTCAGACAGACTGAGAGACAGACAGTCAGCCATTCAACCAGTCAGTCAGTCACTCATTAGGTCAGTCATTCGATCCCTTCGTTAGTCCGTTAACATTTAATGTTAACAACTGAAGAGGAACATGCACTAAGTTACCATTCAGTTTTAAAATTGAGCACCTAATAATAGGGAGTTTAAGAAAACCACGACGGCGACGGCAACGGGAACGTCGCTAAACAAAAGGTTTAATGAGTAGAACAATGGTTGTGGACGTGCGTTATAATTCTTGGTACATTTCTTTGCCGTCCTCTGCAAAACAACAACGTGAAACGACCAAATTCTACGTTGTTCGGAGAACGTGAGCCACGACGGCTAATTTTTTTATTTTTATTGCAAATGTTTCGCCCTGTCCGAGGTTCAATTTCGCGATGGTTTTGACGCTAAAACAAAAGAAAATGACTTTAGAGTATCGCGAGATTCGTAGGTAAAATATAAAATAATATTTTAATCGACGTTGTCCTCGGCGTCACGTCATAGATTATTAAACTACCTAATACTAAATAACAAGCGCAATCCGCACATTAGCACGTAATCACTTACCTGTCTCCCATCACTCTGATTTTCTCCTCTTGAGAAGCGTGAAGTAATGTGTCTTTCTCTCTCAAGTAGGAATCTACACATCGCTCTTCAAACATCATAATCTTCTGAAGATCGTTCGTTTCTAGGAAAAGCTCTGCCAAAGCAGAAACAGATAATTTATATAACGCGTGGCTAGTCACAATTTTGTTAACAAAACACTAAAGTAAGAAAATAAGTTGTTTCTCAACTACGCTAAACTAAAAGAAAAACGGCAATCTTACGTACTTAGTCCAAAACTAGAACTTTCTTGGTTTCTGTGTCCTCGACCTCGACAGCGTTTTAGCCAACGATATAAGCCCTTTATCGCGTGGATCACGTGATTAAGGATGATAAAAGGTGGTATTAAGACCGGTCTCTGTGCGTACTCCATCACCAAATAATATCGTTGAAACTTCCATATCTGATTTGCGTTGGCCTGCACACTGGAAAACGTGTTGCTGAGAAGGAAAAGACAAAATTATTATAAAAATATCTGTGATTCGAGTGGCAAATTCAGGTGATTTTTAGAGTGCAGTTAACTTTTGTCACATTAGTGAACACCAGTTGACCTGTTGAACATGTTATTTCGCCTTGTTGTCTCGGGGTGCGCTCTAAACTTTTAGATGAAGTTGTGAGCATTACCACCGAATAAAGTTGAAAATTTACAAAAATTGAAATTTGTGACCAAGATCTTACAGCAAAGTTGGAATTTTCAGCATATTAGCGGGAAAAAAAAAATCAAATTCAACACTCACTTGAAAATGGCTATGAGGAGATTTAGAAGCAGAATATTGGCGACCAGCAGATAAAACGCCATGATAAACAGCACGATAGTGTCTCCATGCTCGTCATTTCGTGGAGTATCAAAAGCAGTGCTTGTCTTGCTAACTGTTAAGAAATGGCAATTCACAATTTACTGCAGTCACAGTCTATTTCAACTTAATTTCAGTTTTATTTGGTTGCTGCTGTAAATGGTTATTTAATCAGATCATTCTTCTCTCGGAATCCGTGACTCGTACTTAATGATGCCTTTTTGGTAACAATAATACCACATGATCATGTTTGCAGAGGTATCTCAGGCAAGTTTGAAAGAGCGATTGTTTGTAGTTAAAAATACATACTCATGGCGAGACCAAATTAGCTCAGGTACGATTAGGTAGTTAGACTTGAATATACACCGCATGATCACAGGACAGAAGTCAAAGCCTCTGTTTGGTGAATTCTAAATTTCGGTACGCGTTGCTCTATTTTAAATTTTCGCGCGTAGGTGACAACCACTGGCATGCAATCATAGACTCTGCAAGGATTTCTGAGGAGTTACGTTATTGTCACTGGCGGTGAACGGTAGAAGAGTCTTTACATTAAGCCCAAAGAGGGTGATATCCTGCTTGCACTTTATAATGCAGGAGCCCATCACACCATTCAGGTCATTTCTAACTTACAGCATTGTAAAACGAAAAGACTGAGAGTTACAACATAATTCCTGGTTAACTCTTTTCGCGCCTTGACGAGTCTTGCACACTTTAAGACTTGTTTGTTCCTTACCCAAGCGTGACTTCCAGGAGCCCTAACCTGTTAAATGTTTTTAACCAATTCATCTTTTGTGTATTAAGAAAAAGAAAATAGTTACGTGTATCTGGTGGATCCACGAACAGCTCTCCATAAACTTGGAAATAAGGTCTGAAGAAGATCCGGGACAACATGGACCAGGAAGCAGTCTCGTTAGGATACAGGATAGCTTGCTGAGCTACTCCATAAGCCAACAGGAATATGACCATGATCAGAAGAAAATACAGCATATCTACAGTCTGAGAAAAGAACGAAAAGGTCTTTTAGTACCACTAAGAAAACAAACAATTTTATTTTATGGGCCGATGCGGTTATCTTTTTTAAACATTCGCAAATTTTGCAGTAGGCGCAAACATAAACTAACAGAAACTATTGTACAAATATTATAATTACATTGTTAAGTTTTAAAGTTATGAAAAAAACTGATAAAACGGGATTTGTTGACTTAAAACGTCTTATTGTTTAGGTATCATTGTTTCAACAATAGACCATTTTACAGCTGTCTGTTCAGTGACCTGGCCTTTGAATGGCAGCGAGACTGCAGGTGACCTTGTTTAATAAAGACCTCACTGCTTTTGCTGTGTAAATCAAGTTGTTTTTATGCTAACTAGCTGGCATTTAAATGAGAAAAGCAGAGAGGTCTGTATAAAAGCAAGGTCACCTCCAACCTCCTTTGCATTCATAGGCCAGGTAACTAAGCACACAACTATAAAATGGCTTGTTAACGAAAACTGGCTGGCAGTGCTAATAAATACAATACTATACTACATTACCATTCGTCCAATCATCACCACGTACGGCCCCAAATGTTTGCTGACAGAAAATATGTCCAACAAGCGAATAATCCACAGCATCACGTCGAGGCAATAGACCACGTGACCAGCACTACGCGTGGTTGGGTGAAGCCTGAGTGCGAGACCAACAAAAAATGATACGACAGCGAAACCGTCAAGAAGATTCCATTTACTGGATGCCCAGTCTTTGAATTTGTTTCCCAGCGTTGGTGGTTCAGAGTGCAGAATCTGATACGAGAAAAATCAAGGTTTATCAGAAGCAAGTACATTACTTGCAAAAAAAATTTCGGACTCTTCTTATCTCATTTCGGACAAATTTCGAACAAAAATTTCTAACACTTTGCTGAAACAAAGCTAACGTAAATTTACCCCTACAAGACACGTTTTAGACTGAAACAACATCTGTGAAAATGACAGCTTTACTGCACCCTCAAGGTTTTACAGATACACCGACGAGAAAATAAGAAAAATTATATCTAGCACTTACGCCTATCAAGCAGTATCAACTAGAGTTCGCTCCATAAAGGAAACTAAGAGCTTTGGATCTATTTTTAACGTTCTATACTGTATTGTAAATATTTCGGACGGTTTTTTTTCAGTTCGGACCCTTTTTTGTCCTAAGTTAAAATCGTCCGAAATTTTTTGCAAGTAATGCACTTAAGTGATGTTTTGCAACGCTATGAGCGAAAGTTGCTGGAAAATCCTTATATGTGTCGTTACCTGTCTAATTTCCTCAGTAAATAATGTACAAACAAAGATGATGAGTACGACTTCACTGATTGAGGGAATGTTCTCTTGACGCACAAGAATGACGTAACTGAACAAGACCAAGAACGCCAGGTAGGCAAACTGTAATACAAAAAACAAAACTCCGCCTTTAAATTAGTAACTGCGCAATCTTATTTACATCAGTATAATCAAAGCTGTGGATAAATCCCTAGTGCGAATGAAATCTATTGAGCAGCACTTTCATGTGACAGTTTTTACTCTGCTACACAAGGTACAATAGTTCTTATAAATTTTGACTTACTTCAGTGGATGAAATTAAAGCCCCGAATTTGAACGTCGAGGCTCTTAGAGTCCAAAGGTATATTTTTTCTCAAGAACAGAGTGAAAACAAGCTGCTTACCACGTTAGACCAGAATTTAGTGACAGGCGCCTTGTAAAACTCTAAGATCTTTCTTCCCCATTTTAGTTTCACGACACGAGTTTGCTGTGTCCACACCTGGTAGGTAGGAATTCTGTGCAGTTCACGTGATACAGAGAGCGTTCTGATTGGTGAGAAAAAAAGCCGTGATTAAACTCCTTTTTCAATAGTGCGAAAACTACTATGCTTATTCAGAGATCGATTATCACTAGTTAAGAGCATGTTACGGTCGAAGCCTAGAATTTAGTCATCAGTGAAACTTGAAAGAAACTTGAAACTTCAAAACTTTGAAAGACGTCCTTTTGCCAATTTTAACTCAATTTTCGATCGGCCAGTCTTTGCGTGACGCGGCTAATCAACCCTGCCTTGAGTCCCTTCTACAAAACTGCAAGCGCGTGATTTCACACAATGTTGTACGGTGATTGATTATGTACAGTAAGTGATTTGCCCTTGTCCAAGACCTCCTAACCGTGCGCAAAAGATAACAAAGTAAAAGGCTAGATTATGGCCAGTAATGGCCAATTTCCTCTATTAGATGCGCCTGCAGGGAATCATGGTAGTTGTACTCATCATCCTGGTCTGGATATTTGTTTTGATGAACACAACTACCATAATTCCCTGCAGGCGCTTCTCATAGAAGCTCACAGAGCAAATTGGCCATTAGTGTTAAGCGGATAACAAATCTTTCTTCTAGTAAACCTTTATAATTTCCATCGTTTGTCAATTGCACTTTTTCAGTCGTGGTGGCCTATCGGGCTCTTTCAAACCCGACTCTTGCTAAAATATACATCACTACTGCATGGTGTGCTGCGAAAAAAGAGTTAATTTAGGCACCTTAGCTCTATATCCCCATTCTGTCCTGTCATGGCTCGGCAGGACCCGTCGAAGGTGCGGTTTTCCTGTACGTGTTCAGCTTCCTCTTCGTCATCCTCCTCCTCCGTTTCCACTTCCTCGGTGGCTAGCTCCTGCTCGTGTTCCTCAAATGTTACTGGCATCGACAAGAGTTCTTGTTTTGTTTTGAATTCCAGCAAAAATATCGTTGGTGGTATAAGGAGACCGAGCATGGTCTAATGACATAAAGAAAAGTATAGCATTATTACTCGCGGGAGTGAAGGCATCTATAATGGTTGCAGTTTTAGTCAGCCTCAGCCTTCAAACACCTGTCTGTAAATGGCCGGTGGAGTTTCTCTACAGAGAGTCTGTATGGCCAATTGAGTTTAGGAAAAAGAAAACAGAATCTATTCTTGGAGTTATTTATCTCAGCCCCAGCCTTACACATTTTTTTGTAACCGGACGAGTTTCTTTACAGAAAGTCGGTATGGCCAACTGAGTTTAGAAAAAGCAAGCAGAATATGTTCTTGGAGCTATTTATCGATATTTATTTCAGAAGTGTTCACTGAGAAGCAATAAATTTCCTATTAACCCCAGTCTGCTCTCTTCTGCAATGTTTTTTGTAAACTTCATATATAGTATGGTAACTTGGAGACCACAAAGTTGATCTTTGCACCGTAGAATGTTCCGGCCTGCAAGCAGGCTTTTCGCGTGGAAATATAGAAGGAGAGGAAAATGGAAATCTCGAACAAGCAGTAATTTGGTCGCGCCATTCAGAATTGTAAACGGTGCTGGCAGGCTCTTTATCCGTTTTCTTCTCCTTGTTTCTTACCATATCCCTGAGAAAAAACTTCTCTTGAGCTAAGAACGTTCTTAAATACGTTTACGCAGGTAAATACGTTTACCCAGCTGCTGCTAGAGCCCTAATAATAAGCACTAGAGTTTTATCTCGTTAAAACTGCGTCTCATTCTCTCACCTTAATAGAAGACCTGTGCGCATTCTTCATTGCTCCCGTCCATATATCGGTGAGAAGAGCCTGGCAACTAGCATGAGCTAGAAATTCCTCGTATTCAATGGCGACAGCAAGTGCCAGACATGTTTGTTCTCCCCAGTTCTCCAAGTGATAAGTCAGCAGCTGCTGAGTGAGCTCTTCGTTTGTTTGAAAGCATTGATCTAACACCCCCAAAGCCAGTCGTTTAAACTCTCTAAGTATAAACACGAATTGCAAATGTGGTAAGAAATTTAGTCGGATTCGTAGTACGGTGCAGCACGCACGCTTGTGTAGTACTGTGTGGCCTTATTGTGAAGTGCATCGTTGAGAGGTGGGGTGCAGTATGGTATAGAATAGTCCGGCGTTGTATGGTATGGCAATGCTTGACTGCAGAGCTGTTCTATTCAAATATTCTTAATATGGACAGAGGTTCCCTTCATACAAGAAATTTCAGGCGTATACACTTCTCCGTTTTTAGATACAAATGAACAAAAAATTGGCTTTGCGGGCCCAAAATTTTCCCCCGGCTTTCGAGAAAGGGTCCCAGGAGTAAGACTTTTCACCCCTAAGAAATCAAAATAACTGATGGGGATCGCTAAAAACGCCTATGACAACCATAAACGCCAACGGAAATATCAGGACTGACCAGCGGCCAAGAAAACTCACTCGACATGCGCGTAAAGCTCGTCAGTGATATCCGTCTTCGCCTCGTCACGCTCAGTCAACTTAGCCATGACGTAGTATAATTTTCCCGCCACTAGTGCCCGCGCCAGATTCTCGTCCCCTCGCTCCCACATAAAGAGCGCCATTTTCTGCATATTGCACAGCACTGACCACATCAGCAACTCGTTGTATGGGTTGATCACGTGAACTGCGTTCGCCATGTGGTCTCGGTGTCCATCCACAAACATGGTCGAGTTAGCCATATCAAAAGCCTTTAAAAGAAACAACTGTAAGAAACTGAGGCTTTCGACAACAAACTGTGCTTATGAGTGGATCAGAAACTTAGCTAGAGAGCACTGAATAAATTCTGATGCCACTGCGTGAAGATGTTTAAAGGTTTAAAATGAATTTTCTGATGTTTGAGACTTAATTCGTTTAATGATAAAATCTTAGCTAATAACAAACAAAATGAAGTTTTGGGCATTGTAACGACAAATGAACTTATTTTCGTGAGATACCACGGTCATGGACTGTACGCCGATAGATTTGATTTTACGCCAAAATAAAAATACGCGACTTACCCTTGTGATCGTGTTAAAGTTCTCTCCGTGTCCTTTGTATGTGCTTCCTAGCAATCGCCGAATGACATGGTTTACATCGGAAAGGGTAATCCGACAGGAATCTACCTGCAGAAAAACTAACATTTTAGTGCTGCTCCTTACTCGATAATTACACCACAAGCAAAGGATTTCTTCCCCAGACCTACCTTTTCCATGCCGATCAATTGTCTGAATACAGCACTTGAAGAAGACTTCCTCCTCTAAAGAGAAACCGAATAGTTTAACGAAAAATCACATTGGAAGGTTTCAGAATTAAACATGGACTTGGAATTTTGATGGAAGTAAAATAGCGTGAAAGTAAAATAACGCGGAGGCAGCGTGGCCAAGTGGTTAGGGCGTCGGACTTGAAATCTGGAGGTCGCCGGTTCAAGTCCCGCTCTGACCACCAAGCTGGAGTTGTTTCTCGGTAGACCCTAGTTCAACTCTTCCGTCATGCTTGTAAATAGCCAACTGGTCTGCCTCCCGCCAGCTGGGACTTTTAAGTCTATTATGTTTATTTTGAAATGTTTCTCTCTTTCAGCGGTGAAAGTCGCCCTGTAAGCCAAGCTACACGATATCGACTTTTAACCCAACAATGTTGCGTTAAAAGTCGGCTCCTTGAATCTTGCACTCACCGCTTTGTATAGTTCCTCTAGTCGAGTTGACGTCAGAAATTTGTTCATACTGACACCATTCTCCAACAGCAGATTAACAAACTCCACTCGATTGTTAACTAGAGCATCCATCATCGCATCCTCCAAAGCATCCATCTGATAAAACGATTAAAAAAAATAAATACTACTTTTCTTGGCATTGAGAATTACTTTCACCTTGGGCACATATATAGACTGCTGAAAGAAGTTGTTTTGACCAATAAAAATCGCCGAGAGTTCTGCTCACGCAAAGCAGACGTAGATTAGTCCACTGATTTCACTTAATAGCAATCTTGGCGGTTTCCTCAAAATAATGTTTCGGTACCTATCCTCAGAAATACAACAGAAACGAAACTTTACGTCTCAAGTTAACTTTGTTTTTTCAATAGGCAAAAAAAATTCATCCAAACGACACCAAAACGACACGACATGACACCAGATCGCATGATAAGCAAGTCTAATGTTTAAAGGGAGAGTTTATCACTCTTATAGGTTTCCTGACCAGCTTAAAATGCAAAATGTATCCATTTATTTCACTTATCCATACCTCCCACTTTTGATCTTCTGTGAAGATTTCTGTTCGGGCAATATCGGCTCGGTTCCATATCAGGGCCAAACTCAACTGGTCTGCGGCGGATGCGTGCTGTGCTATAAACAACAAGACAAAACCCCACTAACAACTAACAATATGGTAGGAACTGCACACAGTGTGCTGAATCCCTGAATCTCTCCAGTTTATTGTTTTCACGAGGAGAGCCTTGAAACCCTACTTTAGATATCTTTCTTATGAGACTATAAACAAACAAAGCCTCACTGCAAAGTCTTAGTCTTAAAACGCTTTTGTTATGAAATAAAATTTAGAGTGGAATGGCACAAGGCTTTCAAGTAGGCAGTCATTTCATGTATCGGTTCACTAGCCCGTTGTTCCTTTTACTTGGTTGGTTAGGTTTGTTGTTCTTCTTTTTGCCTCTTTGCTTAGATTTGTTGCTTCCTCGTGCACGACGCCTCATGAGCAAACTTTAGTACAACAAATCATCTCTTAATTAACTAATTAATTAATTAATTAATTAATCAATTAATTATTATAAGGAATAATAAATGTACGAATGACTTCCACTCGGGAAAAAATCCGAGTCCCAGATGGGATTTGAACCCACGACTCTCCGTGATCTAGCCGGACGCTCATGGGTTAGTGCCTCTGGCTAGATCACGGAGGGTTGTGGGTTCAAATTCCATCTGGAACTCGGATTTTTTTTCCGAGAGGATGTCGATTAATTAATTAAACAGTATTAACAGGTGGCGCATTTTATCCATAAACACGCAAAGAAAGGAACACCTTGACCGAACAAGCTTGGTCATTAACCCAAATATGGTTTCGGTAAAAACGGACGTTTTTTCAAACCTTTCAATAGAGCTCTCAGTATCGCTCTGTCGATCTCGATACCATCCTCGTCCATTCGGAATATTGTTATCTAGAAGAGAACAAGTCAAAACAAATATAGGATATAGCGTTCTCTGGTAAAAAGTACCAGAGAACGCTATATCCTATATCATCATGATCAATCCTGGTAACGGATCCGCGATATTTTTACAAAACAAATAGTCTATATCCACACCGAAAATGACATGGTCGCAACTATCGAATAGTTAACTGTCAAAAAGTTAGTAGTTTTGCATCAACTACGCTACACGAGTGGCTTAAACAATTCGCGCCCCTTTTTCATCCAATCAGAAAGTAAGACCAAAACCATTGTAACTCACTCGCACTCGTTTTCCCGCGCTTTGCGTTGCTACATGTAACTACCTCGAGTTTTGATTGGTTCTCTGTGTCGTCTGTGTACTTTGTGATTGGCTAGAGCTATTACTTTGGTTTTGGTTTTGCGACACTCAACCGAAACCTGCTCTAATGCTACCTGGATAAACATCAACATGAAGATATCTTAAAATAATTAACTGACAATACTACTTCTGTACTTTCTGTTTCATAGATTGTTATGTGTATTTTACCCAACTATAAGCATTACTACAGTTTTAACAACTGAATAGGTAATGTTTCTTTCAAACTATAACCTCGTTGTCAACTTACATATCTCTTGTTCCCCACACATTTAAGCACGTCATGGTAAATTGCATAACATTTCGTCTCGTTGCATTCTGGGAAGGCTTTTTGAATTCTCATAAGAAGCTGTCTGTGTTCAACAACCTCGGACATGTCTTCCATGTCGGTTCTGTGAACACGCAAAAATGTGTGCAACCCTTTAATTGAAAAAAAAAATGAAAAACATTTTACTTGTTTCTGTAAATTTAACCTCAAACACGCACCCATCATTTGATGTGACAAGGCCATGAGCATGCGCTAAGATATCGGCAGCCCTTCCGCTGCCCTCGGCAATGACGACAGGCACAGCTGGGGTACTCGTTACAGATTCCAACACCGTCAGGATTGTGTTTGGGCCTCCCTCAAGAACAAGTAGAACCACTGGGATACCATGAGATTTGCCTGAAAGACATGAAAATTGGGGCGTTAATGTTTGATAAACAACGTCGCCAAGCACCGATCTAAACATTACCAGAGACCCAAATTTGCTTTCGTAGCTTTGATCTTTTCTAGGTCTTACTGAAATTTAGACGTTTGGTCTCATCTCTACTACAAATGACACACGTGATTTCACTGCGGTAGCCGTGTACCTCGCTTTTATATCTCACATAAAAACAATAGCATCTTATATTACTCACTTCTAGCAATCTTCTTTGTTGTGATGCAGTTTTGCAGACTTGCACGAAATGGGATTTCTCCGCCATATTTTCCAGCCGTTCCATCATCCACCAGGATGAAATGTGAATGATTGTTATCGAGGCACGCTCCCTGTGACAGTAGACTGGAGGTCATGTGGTACGTGACAACTCCCTAGGTGGACAATTCAAATTGGTTATTTTCAGTTTCATTCTCGTGAGCGTTTTGAAACATAAACAAACAACCTATGGATTCTATGTGCTAACCTTGCTGTCGATTAAGTCTGTCCTGTGGTCCACTATCCCCCAGGTAGCGATGCCAATCAAATGCAGCTGCGATTCTTTATCCTTCAGCGGCTGTGCCCCGCGTGACATGACGGTGTGACCCTTAACAGCTTCACCCACGTGACGCATCACGCCAGTGTTTGTCCCGCCTGTGATAATCCACGCGCCTGTTGTCTGGGCAGCCTGTGGAACATCATCATCTCTATAAGAAGTGTTACAATTCTCTAAAGAGGAAAGCTTGAGCGGCTCCAGAGTGTAACCGCCCTGAAGAGAGTTCACTCTACTCCCTCCTTGTTTTTAGTTGATTAGTTTTGAGAACAAAAAGTACAAGAAATACCTTTAGCAGCCCCTGTCGTAACACGTGCTTCAACTTGGGATGTAGGACAAAGTTTTTAGCTCCACCGGTGACAGAGATGAGCAGCTTGGGTAATTCTAACTTCCATTGATCTCTTAAAAGGCGTAGAACTTTTTCGGGATCAGTGTCATTAGAAATACGGATGAACTACAAAAAGAGGACAGCCTTATCAGTTGAATGATTAGATCAATCGAGATGTGCATAAAAACGTAATAGTCTTATTCATTCTACTTTCGTTGGCATATAATTGATTTTTGCTGTTCAGTCGTGGCAGTGCTCTACTTCGGTATTTAGCTGTCGCGTTCTGTCAAAAGGAATGGGACGGCAACGGCAACGGAAACGGGAACGATAACGGGAACATCGCTAAACAAAAGGTATAATAAGTAGAACAATGGCTGTGCACGTGCGTTACAATTCTTAGTACATTTCTTTTCCGTCCTCTGTGAAACACCATCGTGGAATGACTAAATTTTTGGGTTGTGTGGAGAACATGAACCACGACGGATAATTATTAAAATTTATATTTCGAATTTTACGCTGTGATTCATAATCAGTTTCTGG